GGGGGGGAGGGGGTGATGCGTTAGGTGCCTCCTCCGCCAGCCTGACCCGCCGGGTACCCGCCAGCAACGGACCCGTCACCACAATAAAAGACACTCGTTTGAACGCTCAGTGCTTTTGTCGCGTCCGTTCTGGAAAATACACAATATCGTCCTGAGGTGAGGTGTAATTGGATCTAGACGCAATGGGAGCAATTACTCATTGAGTGTCGCATCGATTCTAAGTGGATCGTATTTCAGATTGCTCCAGAGGGGTAGCGGTGCTGTACGGAAGTACGACGTATGCAGAAAAGAAAAAAAACACATAGTACTAGATCCAAGGGAATTCTCGTTTTAATAGGTGAAAAAAAAAGCTTCCCGCCGCTCCACGCCCTGCCGCACACGCGCCATAACACGTGATGATCCTCCTCTTTTCTCGCGGGAAAGGCAGATGTTTGCCTGGATACGCGGCTCTACAGTTTCCCTCATTCTAATGAGCTTACCGCCACAGCATAACGTTAGAAACTGGGGCTCTATCACTAAGAACCTGGCGGTATCAAAAAGCGGAGATTAACCCGCGTGGCTGCAGTCGTGTGGACACGAGTCAATGGGGTTTGAAGTAGAAAACGGTTCCTGTGTCCCGTGCTATGTGGCTGTCAATGGCTATCAGTCACCCTCCCTCCTCAGACCACACACACTCCACCTGTCCATTTCACTTGAAAGGGATGGAAGCAATCGGGGATAGGAGGGGCGGGAGAAAATGCCAAGGAAATGCCAATATGCCCAACGATATGAATCATTAATAATGTTTTATATGTGTTCTCTCTCTCTTTTTTTTCATTTCAGAAGTCGCTCCTTAACATTATCACAGTGTCGTCTCTCTATAGCGTACCTGCGCTTAGAGAAAGGCAGGCGAGAAACTAACCGTCGTGTGCTCGTTAACAGAACATATCACAGTAAACACAAAACAGTGCAGAACATTAAAAATAATCATAATTTTAACTCCCTTTCCCCCCCCCCCCCTACCCACACAAAATAAAAACTTGATACAGCATCGCAACAGGATTGACGTTGGTGCCTTCGCGACTGCTCACTATGATTTACTGCAGTCTGCCAGCACTGCCAGGCCTGTAGAGGCGTTGAGGAGGTGGTGATGTAGAGATCTCGCGCGTCCTTCACTCGGCATTTCTCCATGTCGAGGCACAAAGTGTGCACGGTACCAACCCCGCTGCAGGCTCAGACCAAAAGGCCCGGTAAAAGCAAGGGAGCCGGTGCCTCCATAATTCGTTCGTTCTTTTTCTTTTTTCATTTTTTTGTACTTGGTTGAAATTCCGCCAAAACGCCGCCGCCGCTCGCGTATATGAATATGAATACGTCTGAAGTGAGAGCGCAGAGAGGGCGGGGCGCGCGACGAGTTTTCAAATGCAGTCCGGTGAGCTCACAGGTGAGGCGGGCCGCGCCGGCGTTGACGCAAGCGCTGCGTGGTGGAGGGGTGGCCTACGCCCACGGCGCCGGCCCGCGCCAGGCCAGACCGCGCTCCGCGCTCACTTGCCGTGGGCGCCGCTGTTGGCGCTGGAGCTGGCGCTGGCCTGGGCCTGCGAGCCGGCCGCCCTGAAGCCCCCCAGGCCCGAGGACACGGAGGCCTGCGCGCTCGCCTGCGACTGGGCGCTGGACGAGGAGCTGCCGCCGCCCCCGCCGCCGCCGGCGTTGGACCCGGCGCTCGACGAGGACGACGACTTGGAGCCGGACCCGGCCACGTTCACGTTCACGTCACCGAGACCTGTCCGCCCGGGAAATAAAAGGGACGTGCTCAGTGTGCCGGTCCGTCGCAGTTTGCGGACAATGCGAGCCGAAATGGCCCTCTCCCGCTGCTTACCAGTCGCGGCGTTGCCCACCAGCTGGCCGACCGAGTTGAGCGCGGAGATCGGGATCTGAAACAGGTTTCGGCGCGGAGAAGTGAATTGAAAAATCCTCAACGCGAATTATTCACGCACGCGCCCGTAATTTCAAATGCGGCAAAACCCACTCGGGCGGGGACTGCTAAAATCACGAGAATGCGCGCGTCTCAAAAAAGGAAACAACAACAGCAAGCTCGAGTTGTTTGTGCTCACGTTGAAGATGTCGTTGAAGAACTCCGGGTTGTGCACGGCCGGGCCGGGACGGCGATGGCGCAGGCGCGTCCTGGTGCGCGTGCGTGACCCCGAGTACGAGTTGGAGCCGGCGCCGCCGCACGCGCCGCAGCCCTGCGCGCCCGAGGACGCCTGCGACCCGGACTCGGACCACGTCGTGGACTTGTACTTGGTGTCGTAGACGGGCACGGGCGGTGACGTGAGGGCTGAGAGACAGAGAGAGAAAGAACTCAGGGACCTCAACGCGGGAGGCCCACCAGGGCCGCCCTCCTATGCCCGTGTCACAATCACGTAACCGGCATAGGGACGTTTGACGCGACACTTTGAAAAAAGTAAACTAACGATATATATTTTGTAATTTACCATTCACGAGATATGTTATAAATTTACGACGAAGACAGCCCATTCCTGCTTGTCCAATAATTCCAGGTCGATACGTATAGCTTGTAATTTTATAATTTTGAATTGAAGTTTTACGACAAGCTTCATGGACAATATTTTCCGTAAAACCTAAAACTATTTTTCACAGTGGATGAAGCGCCTCTTGTGGCCGTTATACGATTTTAGCGTGAGATGTAAGTCTGATGTCATGGGATGTAAGTGTGATGTCGCCACTGTGATTCTGGGTCGCATTGTTTATCGTCAACACTGGTTTGTGGACTGTGTGAGATTATGCCTTTCTATGCCGTCAGTGGAATCTACCGTAGTACGCTGGCGTCCAGATTTTAACGCAGTGGAAAGATATGGCGGGAAACTCATTTCCATTTCCAATCGCAGCATTCCTCCTGTGCTACCTGCAGCGTAAGAGCGCTATGCATTGAGGAAAACTAGCTGAATAATTTCGCAATCTCCGTAATTTTTGTTTTTCTGCAAGTAGTTTCCGGGATATTGGGATGACTTACCGGCTTCCCGGCGTGCGGCCGCCTTGTTGTTGAGGAACGTGTTGACTGCGCCGAGCACCGACACGGGAATCTGCGACACAAGAACAGGCAAAGTATAGTTTTGAATCAGAAGGAGAAGAAGAAAAGAAAACGCCGCCAACTCTGGCGTCCAGCTCTTATTCCCTGACCAGCGAAGCATAGGCAACCACCTTAATCACGGTGCAAGATGTTGCCAAACCACAACCACAACCACCAGGCGTTTCCTTCCGAATTATTTTTTTCTTCGATCTTTTCTAAGGGATCATCGGGGATCATCTAGAAAGAACGTCCGTCGTTTGCCGATACGAAACCGCAAAGTTCAGCCGATGCGAGCTCTCATAGCGCCTGGACGGTAGGCAAAATCTTCCCTGCAGTGCAGGCGTGCACCACGGGGTGGCCTACCTTGAGTCTCGCGGGCGCCGAGCTCCCTGTAATTTGCCGAATGAAACTAAGAAAAACGGGCGTACTTTCTGGACGATCCCTTTCCTTTCAAAATCTAAATGTTGGTAAGTGTAAAAACCATTCTTTTTCGGGCATAACTGTAAATAGTAATCCCAAGATAAACCCCCCTCATAGTTTTCCACAAGCGGCCACGACTCTTGTTTGCGGCTCGCTTTGGAGTCTCCCAGGCCTCTAATTTTCCCGCGGCGAGTAAATTACCCTGGAGGCTCACTCACTCCGAAGGACATGCGGGTCGGAGACGCGATCCGTCATCGCGGTGGTCCCGCGCGCGTCAAAAACGAAATGGGAAATCCAGCGTCATATTCTTGTCCTGCTGCCACATTTTCGAACGCGCGTGTCAAAGTGTATGTAGGGGAGCGCTCGCGTGTGCGTGTGACGCTGTCGATTTGTACAGAGCGAGAGCAGTAGAGGGAGAGAGTGAGCAAGTGTGTCCCTGCTGCAAATGTTGCGCCACTCTAATGGGAAAGGGGCCAGTCATTACCCTGCCCTGCTGCTGGTGGAGGGGAGGGGGGAGTAGCCAACCTCAACGCATATCACTCGGCTGTCCGGCGCGAGGGGGGAGTGTCGGGAGTGTGCATGACCGAGTTTGAGGTCTGCACTACACGCGCGCACCTGACCATGAGCTCAAACCAGCCGCGGGGGGGATAGGGGGAGGACTTGTATACGAGACAAAAGGCGGGGTGGGTCCATTAGAATCGTAGCCAGGGTCCTTGAAAATATTCTCGCACACCTGCGTCTCTTTAGCCCCGCGAGGCACCTGTGACAACAAGTGAATTGCGAAAGCGTTCGAGCCACCGAATGAGAAAGCGCTCCTGCTCATCAGAATGGGTAGCTTTTTTTTCCGACTCCGAGTATCAACCAGGCTCTCCTCTGACATAAACGAACACTACTTACGTTCAGAGCGTCGTTGACGACGCCCCCGACGGCCGGCGCGTTCACGTTGACGTCGACGGAGCCCGCCCCGGCGGCGGCCTGGGAGTTGGCGCTGGAGTAGCTGGAGCCGCCGCCGGAGGGCCCGGAGGGCACGGGCTGACCGCACACGGTGCAGTAGCCACCGCCACCGCCGCCGCCCCCGTGAGACTGCGCCTGGCTCTCAGACTGCGCCTGACTGTGCGAGTGGGACCCCGAGGAGGGCGCCACCTGCTGCTGCGACACGAAGCAGAGCACAAATCAATCAGGATCTGTCCAGGCCACGCTACGCCGGTACTCGAACCCTGGTTTGTTTCACTTCCAGAAGCTGCAGGCCGTAGTGCCTAATTGTCTCGGGAAGGGGTGTGTGGCAACAACTGGAGAGTGGTGCGCGGCGTCCCAAGGATGCCACCCGGCGGACCGAGGCCCGCGGTGTTCCACTCGCTGGCCATTATGGGCAATGGGCCCCGCCCCGCCCCGCCCCGCAGCGCAAGATTAGCGGTTGCGACACGGGCCCAGGATGATCACAGCACTCCGTAAGCACCGGGAGGCACTTGTCGGCTCCAAAGTGCGAGAAGCCTGGGCAGTAGTGCCGAGTACGCTCACCTGGGGCGGCGCGACGTACTCCTGCGGCTGGTACTCCTGGTACACGGGGCGCTGTGGGGGCGGCTGGTACTCCTGGTACACGGGGCGCTGCGGGGGCGGCTGGTACTCCTGGTACTCCTGGTACACGGGCTGCTGCGCGGCGACCGGGGCATTGGCCTGCGCCGAGGAGGACGCCTGGAAAATCAAGCACAGTTTTGGGTTCAGGCTCAGGCATGGACGCGGGGACCAGATCGTATCTCACGGACGCTGGAACTCGTTCTGGTGTGAACAGCATTACATCCACGACTTGATCAACATTTTAAATTTCGAGTGTCGGCCTTGAAAATAAATAGTCCAAATGGGGTTGGCAGTAGGCCAGGACCGCCGAAGCCCGGGGATGGCCGCTCACCTGAGACTGGCTGTGCGACTGCGAGTCCCCGCCGGACCCCGAGGACGCGCTCTGGGCCGAGGACTGGGCGTTCGAGGACGCCCCGCCAGCGCCGCCGCTGGCCTGGCTGGACGCCGAGGACTGGGCCGAGGACTGCGCCGAGGACCCGCCGCCACCACCGCCGCCGCCGCACACGGGGCAGGGCTGGTACGCCCGGGCGGGCTGCGCGGGGGCGCCGTACGAGTCGTCGGCCGAGTAGTGCACCACGTGCTTCTCCACGTAGCGCTCGCGGTGCAGGCGCTTGTGGTGGGGCCCGGGCGCAGGCCCTCCCCGCACCAGCACCGCCACCAGCAACAAGACCGCGGCGCGCGACCACCACATCTAGAGACAGCCAGGAGAGTCGCGTGGAAGATGGTGGAATGCGATGCGGTAAGGACCGAAAACTTTCCGGAAAAATTAGAAACTAATTATGTATTTAATA